GGTCGTCTATAAGAGCCAATTTTGTTCTTTTATTGTTACATCTTAAATGCGATTTTGTGTTTATGGCAAAGTGGACTAAGTAAGTTGCATTCACAGAATACATTATAAATCTTGCACTTCAAGGTTTTTAATGTGATTAATCGAAGGAAATTTAAGTGTCTCGCACGTATAGATGTTTATTAATACTTACTGTAATTGAATCATTCACAAATGGATAGTATTATGGCAATGCAGTGTTTTATTTGAGCCGGATTCACTGGTCTATTTTTATTTCTATTTCCTTGTGTTCTGAAGCAATTCTCAAACTTTACTAAATTCCTCTTGAACGCCTTTAAAGTTCTCTCAAATCTTCCTTTTAAACGTTTTTGAAACTCCCATGACATTCGTCTGAAGGTTTCTTCTCAAGTTCATCAACTTTTCCATTCAAATTCTGCTCAAATTCAACTCAAATCATTCTTTAGGTATTTCCTTCAATTTCCCAACAGCTTTCCCTCAAACTCTCTTCAAGTTTATCCGATTCTTCTCAAGTTCTCGTCAAATTTTTTTTTAAAGCCAATCTGGCAAGGGTAGTTATAATTTTTAAAAAATCCAGAAAGAAACTAATATATTTGACAATTAATTTAAAAAAAAAACAAAAAAATTAGAAGAATAGGTATTGCTCACCTGCTATTTTCTGGATTTTCCGGACAAACTACGCTTACGGAATCGAAAAATAACAGGCCGGATTTTAGAAAAAATATTTGGGGTGCCCAATTTTTTTAAACAAAGAATTAAAATTAAAATTTAAAAAAAAATTGAAAATTTCTTTCATCAAAACAAACAAATTTTGATTTCGGTAAAATTTTGGCAGTGTACATTAGGAATAAAAGATGTAAAACTGTAAAAAACGGTTTTTTTAACATATGAGGTTTTAGCACCGTGACGTCATACAACTGTTTTTTTTTTCAGATAATAACACCCATTTTTGATTAACGAACGAAGTTTTTGAGTAAAATATGAGTATACTACTACTATTATCAGTAATAAACACAAACAAGTCAAAAAAGCAAGTGAAGTCGCAACAATGTAGGGGCCCGACCCGAGTTATTTACGAGAGAACGTATCATAAAAAAATTATCGACTATCGCAAACTAATTAGAATTCGAGTTAGAATTATTAATTTAATAAAGGGTAAATTGCATTTTTGTCCGAGTATAACAAAGACATGGAGTTCGGAACAGAACGATAATAAACAGCGAGTTATATAACTTTTCAAGCAAGCATTTTTGCTTAGAAAAGATATCAGTTTCAGGGCATGATTTATTGTGGTTTAACTGCACCTGCATAGGCGAGACTAAGCGGTCGTGTCTTTTTTTTGAGTTGCGGTAAAAGTTTCGTAATCTTATACTTGAATGTCACTTAATTAATTTAGATACAGGGTGTTCCATTTCTCTAGAGACGGTCGATTATTGGGGGGGACATCAAAAAATGATTTATATAAAATATCCTCCGCATGGAGGGTCCATTTAATGATGCTATGCACGTTTCTGTCAAGAGCTACTTAATTTTTGCAAACAGAAACCTATACTTTTTCTTGAATATTCTTATTCTACATCGGAAAATAATAAATGTTTGGAATATCAGATATGTTTGCCTTTAACAGAAGCATCTGTGATTAAAATTTCAGAAAAATATTTCGATAAATATTTACAATATGCGATACGCTTGCTTTTACTAAAAGCATCTTTGGGTTAAACTTCAAAGAAATACCTCCATAAACAAGAAAGTTGCCATTGCGCAGTCTGCGCATGTACACATCTGATTTTTACTATATGCGATATGTTTGCCTTTACTAGAAGTAGCTGTGGTTACAATTTCAACAAAATATATTAATAAATAAGTAATTTATTGCACATAATTAATAATGGCTCAAAGGGTTAACCGTGAATTCTAACAGGGCCAACATAATTTTCTTTATCAATGCATTTAACCGTTTCCTCAATCAAATTTTGGGTTTCTTTGACCCCAAAAAATCTACGATAAAGTAGAGTAATGGACTTTATAAGCTTAATAAACGGTAAAAGTGTATAATTATGAGAAGTGAAAAAGAGATTTTTTGCTATAACTGTCTTTGTAATAGATGCTGAAAAATTCGTTCCTTATTGGTGGAAGCGAGGGTGCAAGCCTCGACACCATAAAGAACCAAATAGCAAAAAAAAAGTAGTTTTTATAGCTTTTTTATGTTGAGATAAAGATCTGAAAGCGACACAGCCATAGGAACAGAGAAAGAGAAGGAAGGACCTACGGACGAGAACAGTAAGCGCTATTTCAGAAAAATTCGTCCACCAGGTTGATTTCATTTTATAAGAAGAATCCTTGCCGACAATTTCAGAAGAATTGGTTCACAAATAACGAACGTGTGGGTCTGGGCATACGCAACAATTGTTTCACGTGTTTTTTAGTCTGCGTATGTGCAATTTGTTTTTTGATGTGCAATGAATGCATCCTCCTTTTAAAATTTCAGAAAAATAGGTACACTTGTAAGAAAGTTAGCACTATGCATGCACAACCTATTCTCTTTGACAAATCTTGATTTTATAAGATCCATCTTAGCGTATAGAATTTCTAATAAACGACAAGAGTGTAAAATTATAGTACATTGAAAACATTGGTTTGTTACTATAAATTTTTAGTAATAAAGCAGAAAAAATCCTTCTAAATAGCGAAAAAAATACAACAATAGCTCTTAAGATAAAGATCTAGTAGCGACACAGCGTAGGGTTGGACGGATGGCCGGACGGACGGACAGACGGGCGGACAAAGTTGCCACAATAGCGCATTTTTTATTTTTGTGGAAATGTACTAAAAAGAAATAGTAAAAAACATCAAGCGAGAATTTAGCAGATAATGTGTTTCCTTATTAGCTTAGTGTTTTTAGTTTCAATTAGAATAGAAGTATTTTCCAAAAAATATTGCCATTTTAACGTTGATTCAAAAGAACTCTTATTAGCGGTCTTGAAGCGAAGGGTTCTGTTTGGTAGCGATTTTTCGTGGTACATCATATATACCTATGAATATTTTACGTATGTGTATAAAGCACCCCAGTTAAAACTTGCATCACCTAATTAGTCATATGTTTCCCGAAAATTAAGAAAAAAATTCTCGTATACGTCAAATTTGTATCGAAAGGACCCAAACTTAACATCAAGTGGTCCTTTTTATAATTTTTTTTTAAATTTTGATCCGAAATTGGGTACAATTTGACCCTTCCTCTTTCATGACAAATTTGATTTATTCAATAATTCCAATGGCAAATTTTGCACTTGCAAATGCGATTTTAGGATACTTTAAAATCAAGAATCTGACCCCCGAACAAATAACCTAGGTCGATTTAGGCGTATTTTGGTCATCCAAATATCAACGTACTAATAATGGAATCATAAAAGACAATTTGCATTTCCATCTTTACTTATTGGCTTATTGAATTACACGTACTGGCCAATTATTTGTAAAAATACCATTAAACTTTGGAGACTACATACCTTTTTGAGATGAATGGTCCTTTTTGGCAAATTTTGGTCACTCAGAAACACAATTATTCCCGAAAACGAACGCGAAATTGATCTGGAAAATGTTAACATGTTAATCTAAACGAACCCGAAATTAAACTAAAAACAGGTGATTTAAATTGGAGCGCGTCATCCTTATCGCTAAGCAGCGCGACGCACTGCCTTAAAACCAGTTGTTTCTAATGCAAATTCTAATATTATCTAAATATTAAAAGTCGCACACGTTTACGGCAGAGATAAAGACGAATCACAAATGTTTTAATTCATTAAATAATCTGCCTCATTGGGCAAAACTGTTTTTGACACACCGTAACATTTAAAATGTTTTTTGAAAATGTACTTATTACGATTTTAACAGTTCAAATGCCATTTTCCAGGGAGAATTTGATGTATAAAGCAAATGCTTCTGATGCCTGCAATACCCGTAGATGTATTCTGCAAAACTATAGTCTTTTATACGGCCAATTTTGTTAACGTTTTGAATATAATGTCAAAGATTAAATTAAATCCAAAGTATATTTTTTGTGAAAAATTTCACCTAAAACCTGGCCTAAAACGCTCCAATCGACACTTTACAACCATCTAAAAGAATGCCACTTCAACTCCAATTTAATGACAAAAAAATATCAAATCTCTTTATCAGAATTTTCGTATAATTATCTCTAAAATTCATCTTAGCTTTCCGGAAACCCATCCTACAATTCTTCTCAAGTCCTCCACAAATACCAAATTTTGTCGAAATCAGAATTTTTCTCATCCCCGTTTGGGAGTGAGCCATTTTGGGGTAGGAATTTTGAAAAAAAATCGAAACTTACCCAATATTTTATCCAAAGGCGTGGCCATCCTTGATTTTCGAGGAAGAAATGCAATTTTTGGGACTTTTGCGAGCCTAGGTTTATTTGAAAAACATCGGTCCAATTTTTTGAAACATTTCAGATAAGTGTAGGTAACTCTGTAAGAAAGAGTGTTAATCGTTTATTTTAAGGGTGTATAAATCCATCCCTAATGTCGCTCACGTAATTTACATCGTATACTTACATATATGTTAAGAGATTAATAAAAAATTCGACTTAGACGAACGTGAAAAGTAAAAAATGCCTTTTCTGGTATGTACCTTTTATTATTATCTGCACGTAATCAAAGTGTAACATGTTTTTTAGATACTTTCTATTTCTGTACGATGGTAGAAAACATTTATTACATTCAGTCACGACAGAAGTTATTTAAAGAAAATCTGAATTTGCAATTCTACTTATGACCTTTGCATACAAAAAAAAATCGAACTGGTCCAAAAACGCAGTGAAATTTTTTTCAAAAAAAGGCAAGTAATTAATTATTTAGTTAGCGCCGAAGAAGCACGCATGTGTGTTATTAAAAGGGTGGTACACAGAGGGTTGTAGGTATCTCAAAACTGGGTTAGTAGAACTAGTAAAACGTCAGTTCGCGAGGCGGCAAGACGCTGCGTACGCGTACTGTGCCTTGCCGCCACCGTCTCTTTTTTTTGTTGTAATAATTAGTCCGCAATATTAAAAACGTACCTGAACCGAAATGCACTTATTGCGCTAGTTAACACCATTGTTCCTCCATTATTATAAGATAATTAGGGTTTTGATTAATTTAAACGAAGATGTCTTTAATGAAGTGTTGCTTCGACACTCCCGAAGTTTCGGATATATTCGAGTCAATGGTGCAGAAATGTACAGATCCTGGATGTGAGTAAATCGTGTTAGAATGTATTATTTATTTTGATTTTGGCGCTCAAGAAATTGATTTTGTTGTTACCGGCATCTGACGGTGAAAGGCAGTACCTTGCACAGTTAACTGCATTGTAGATGTCAGCAGCTTACAATAACATCTGAAATCGATACCAGCTGTTCGCTGTCAAAGTACTGTCAAGTTTGTGTACTGGTTGTATATAAGTTTAGTTTTTTGTGTAAAAATGTTTGGTAAACGCTTTTAATTGCAAATGTATTGGGTACACTTTTTTCTGAATTACAGGTTGTTGTGGGTGTTGCAGCGCGCTACGTCCGCGCTACAAGCGCTTCGTTGACAATATATTTCCAATAAACCCTCAGGATGGGCTAGTTAAATTAAACATGGAAAAACTCACGTTTTACTCACTTAGTTCTCCGGAGAAATTGGATCGGATCGGAGAATATCTTTTTCAAAAAGCTGCACGTGACATTTATAGGAGGCGATACGGGTAATTATAGTTGCAGTTGAGGGATATAAAGGTGTGACATTGTACTTTAACCGGCGAATACGTAAATTGGGTACAATGTGCGGATGTAAAACATTATTATGCTATTTATTTATTTTGCTGTATTAAACTAGATACCTAAGTACTACCCTGATTTTTGACAGGGCTGACTGTGCTTTGATTAAATCAGACACAATAAAAGTCTTGGTATTTTATACCTATGGTTATTGTAATTAGTAGAATGTAAAATAATTCGTGGCCCACCCTGCCAAGTCGAACCATCACCCTGTCTATCTAATCAATATGTGCCTAATTTAATGCATATTATGCCCTAATTCATGCTGCTGTTACTTATGCAATCCTAGTATTAACTATTGCGAACGCCTACATCCTTGAGTGTTTGTACTACGCATTCAATCATGGTATGCGAGTAAATTTTGGTCAACTCACCAAAGGGCACATCCAGTTTAAGGGTAAAATAAAAACATTTTTAATTATACTACACTTTCTAGATAAGCATACACAGTGTGATTGATTTTGGATGTCCAAGCATATACATATTTCTTTTATTATTGGAAATTGAAAAAAGTTTAAGATGTAAAAATACTCTCCTTTTAATTTTTGATGAAGTTGCATATTCAAAAAAAACAAGTGATATAAAAACAAAAGAGAATAGAAAACAAATTACTTAATTCCTTTAAATATAGCACAGTTTTTCTGTAATATTCTTAGAGCTTGAAGTTCTTTTGTTATCAAATAAGTATTAACAATTACCTTAGAAATTAAAGCTACAGTAATGTTTTTAAAACCAATCGCAGTAACTGTGGAAATTTAAACAAAAACAAGAGATTTTCACTTCTCATGTCTGTCACAAAATTATATATTTATTTTTATATTATATATTATAAGTACAAATTTTCTGGTATAAAATTCTCTGTTTTTTAAACCTTTTTAGTACATACACATACAGTGTGAGTTTGTTTTCACTTCCACTATAGGGATCTCCGTAAGAGAGACAAAGCCGGGAAAAAGTTGTGAAGAATTTTTCTATTCTTAATTTGGTATCGCCGATTTTGTAATTTCAAAGAAAGTTGATTTACTCAAAACTCTCAAGTCATAAAAAGGTAAGTCATACCTTGAGAAGATTCTATCGAGGAAAATTCGCTTACACCAGCTCCTCCAAAAAGGATAGGCTCATGCGAACACTTGCTCCAAGTCAATTCGTACCTTGAGAAAATTCCCCCAAGGAAAATTCGACCTTAAATTGTTCGTAACCAGAAAAATGGCACACTGGAAAATTCGTTTGCAAGAGTTATTGTCTTAACAAGGTATATGTCCATGATAAAACTCGTTCCGTCTCTAAAGAAAATTTTTTCTCAAAAAAGTTCCCCCCCTCCCACCAAAGTAGCGTGCTTCTAAGAAAGGGTTTCCAAGAAAATTCAAAATTCACAGTGCTAAAGTATGAGAACTCGTTTAAGGAGGTCCTAGATCCCAGAATGGTAACGTGATCGCGTGTAGTTTAGCACCACCTTTTGATCCTAAATGTCTAGGAATTGTGAAAGTATTTCTTGGATTCCAGGGGGAACATTATTGCAAATAAACTTAACACGATTGCGCGAAGTGATCAGCCTCTCGAATATTTCTTGGCCACTCTATAGCATTGCCAAGTAAAGTTATTTGTCGTGAGTCGCGATGGGGGTTTGTCAGTCAAACCGACCGTCAGGGTGTCGCGACTTGTTTATCTGTGTTTTCTTTCATTTGTCGCAACAATTCGTGTGTTTTATCCCTTGGTATAAACTAAATTTTTATGACTAATTATTTTGGTTTTGTCAAATTTATATTATTTACATTTCCGCTTCTGCAAAAAATATTTTCTCTTTTGTATCACTAGTAGAAATAACAAACACTAGTATGTGAGCACAAAGTATGTAGACAGGCCCCAGTTTACGGAAAACCTGCTACTTAGGTATACCAGAAAATGTTCCAAGGGCAAAGGATATTGGAAAATCTTTTAAATGCTGATCAGAGCTGGGCAGTATTCGATTTTGTAAATACTTTTTAGTATTCAAATCCTTTAAAGCAGCGGTTCTCTAAGTTTTTTTTTCGCGTACCACTCATGATATTGTAGATCCCTCGCGTACCACTGAATTTGTACTACATTTTTAAAAATGCTTAATTTTATCAGGTAAAGTAATAAAAAATTCGAATTGCTTATAAAAATATTGTTTATTAGTAGGTAAGTTGTTAGTTAATGCGACCAATTGTGCTGCATGCTCAAAACAAGTGCGGAAATGTTCGGTTGAGTTGTAGTTAATTTTAAACGCAAATTTGGGCCTATGTTTAGCTGTAGTTTAGTAAATTTTCAAACCCTCATCGCAAGCCCTATCTATGGCCATGGCTGCTTGTGTACCACCCTGAGAAGCATCACGTACCACCAGTGGCACGCGTACCATAGTTTGAGAACTGCTGCTTTAAAGTATTCAAATACTTTGCAATTAAATACTTTTATGGAAGCAGTAACTCAAACTGTAACTCAAATACTTCGCAAGGTATTTGAATACTTTGAGAAGTATTCGAATACTTCGCATAGTATTTGAATACTTATTAACCTTCCTTTTTTACCAAAAATCGACTACACCAACATTTCTCGGGAAAACACTTTTTCTTATTAATTTTGGTGCGTAGAATCCAAAACAATTCGTACTTTTTCGATTAGACTTCTCAATCAAAAGTTATAGACTAGAAACCAATTCCGAAAAAAAATTCAAAGGGCTGTAACTTTTGAAATAGTAACCCAATCTTGGAACTGTTTGAAATTATGGATTCTACAGGCCACATTCTATAAGAAAATTTTTTTCCGGGCCGATCTGAAACAATTTTTATTTCGGGGTTCAAAAAAAGGCAGTGTTTAACCTTCCTTTTTTACCAAAAATCGACTGCACCAAAATTTCTCGGGAAAACACTTTTTCTTATTAATTTTGGTGCGTAGAATCCAAAACAATTCCTACTTTTTCGATCAGACTTCTCAATCAAAAGTTATAGACTAGAAACCAATTTCGAAAGAAAATTCAAAGGGCTGTAACTTTTGAACTAGTAGCCCAATCTTCAAACAGTTTGAAATTATGGACTCTCGATCGATCTCGATCTCAGACAATTTTTTTTCCGGCCTCAAAAAAAGGCAGTACTTTTAAGTTATTCAAATATTTGAGAACAATTTAGAAATGTTTAGGGAAAGTTTCCATTGTCACAAAATCAAATATAAAAATCCGATACATCTGAATACCGAACTCGATAGTCTACGTAACTTAAAAACAATAGGGACCTTTCTTTTATCCTTAAAACCATTTGTACCAATTTTCAAAGCGATCGCACGTTTCTAAACAAGTTATCATGCACACGGACAAACGGATGGTCAAAAATGGATTTGTTCCAAAATCGCTAGGATTAATTTCGGAAAGGCGTACGTATCATGTGCACAACGTACGATCGCTTTGAAAACTGGTACACGTCTTAAGGATATAACTGGTATAAGAGAGGTCCTGGTAGGTACCTCCTATATAATAATATAATAATAATAATACGCTTTTACTCCCCTTAAATTTGTATATAACAATAGAAATATAAAAAAAGCTAACCCCATACAAAGTAATACTTTTCAAAGTATTGGAATACTTTTTATAGTATTCGAATACCTTTGATAGTATTAGAATACTTTTGAAAGTATTCGAATACATTCTAAAGTATTTGAATACTTATTTTTTTAAGTATTTGAATACTTTTCAATGTATCTGTATCTAGTATTCGCTTGTGCTGCATGTAAAAGTATTTAGTATTCAAATACCTTTGATTTGTGTAAAGTATATACTATTTAGTATTCAAATACTTTTTTTAAAGTATTCTGCCCAGCTCTGATGCTGATGATTAAAAGTGTCCGCCATACGTCTAACTTTAGAGCGTCATACAAAGAATCTCTGGTGATTAATTTCAAACGAATCAATGGAGGCAATTGTGAAGTTTTTAGTAGTTGGATGAAATGAAGATAGTGAGGAACAGAAGAACATTACGTAGCGGTTCCTTCCTCTCTCTAATTACTTGCGCCCCAACCTCTCCCATATGATCCTTTTGGATTTTTTTAATCGGTTCCTTTATATTTGATATAATTTGTGTCACACAAATCATTATTTATTTATTTGCAGTAAATGCAACCTAGCCGACTATTATGCGGCCAAAGCAAGCCATTAAGAAGACAATGAGCCTTTTGTCAATCATTTATGATCAAATTATAACACTAAGCTCTATCGCGAGCATTTCCTATTTGTGTCAAATCAATAGGTACTTGAACTTTTCGGTAACTATATTGATCCCTTTTGAACAAAGTTTAGGTACAATGGCACGTACATAGAATTAATAATTTAATCGTACGCCCCCAACTGAGCCGTGCACTTCCAATTTATTGCCTGTAGCGAAAGTACGCCTGCATGATATGGTCATATCACACGATCTCGCCTTTACAGATTTGTGATAATAGCGATGGAGGCGATGGACCAGCTTTTGGTCGCTTGCCACGCACAAACGCTAAACTTATTCGTCGAGAGCTTTCTGAAGATGGTGCAGAAATTGTTGGAGTCGACCGAACCGCAACTGCAGATACTCGCCACGCAATCCGTAAGTGCGAAAAGTCGCGCGCGTATTTTTACGCGTTTCTTTTGCAGTTTGTTCGCTTTGCCAACATTGAGGAGGATACTCCCTCGTATCACCGGCGGTATGATTTCTTCGTGAGTAAGTTTTCGGCGATGTGTCACAGCAATGAATATGGAGAGGCACGTGATAAGATTCGTCTGGCGGGGATTAGAGGTTTGCAAGCTGTGGTTCGCAAAACTGTTTCGGACGATTTGGTCGAAAATATCTGGGAGCCGGTTCATATGGATAAAATTGTGCCAAGTTTACTTTACAATATGCAGGTAGAATTCGGAAGATGATTGCATTTATTTGCTTTAACATTTCTGTATAGGACTCCGCGTTTTACTTAAAGGAATCGTACAATACGGATATTGCACCTGAAGATCAGATTGACTCTCCTTTATTAGCCGAAACGTGTATGAGAGAGTTGGTTGGACGCGCTTCTTTTGGCCACATCCGTGCTGTTCTGAAACCAGTATTAAGGTAACGCTTTTTAGTAGGTAATTCTTTTGTTATATAAAGTGAGTACGTATCCACTGGAGGAAATAATCGCAAACTATTCTTTTCAGACACTTTGATCTACACAAACTATGGGTTCCTAACCAATTCGCGATACACATATTCCGTGTTATAATGTTATCTATTCAAGTAAGTGTTACAAACGCATACGCACCTCCGACATTTGCATCTTGCAGGCTCAGTATTCTTACACAGTGGTCGAAACGCTGATGGCACATTTAGACGAGAATTCCAAATCGAGTCCGACGATTCGTACAAGTATCGCGGACGTGTTATCGAAAATTATCGCAATAGCTGCAGGTGAAAGTGTTGGCCCTTCAGTATTGGAAATTATCAATTCGTTACTGAGTCATCTGCGTGACTCGGTGAGGCACGGCATAAATCAGAAAGATGAAAAGCAGTATCAGGAAGCGTTAATTAATGCTCTGGGCGAGTTTGCCAATCATCTTCCCGATTATCAAAAGATAGAGATAATGATGTTCATAATGAGCAAAATTCCCTTCCCGCTTGTTGACAATAATACTCCCGCTGATAATTTATTACAAAGTATTTTGTTGAAGAGTTTACTCAAAGTAAGTCGCTCGTTGATCCGTGGTATACATTAACTTGTTTGGTTTGCAGGTAGGCACTAAGTATCAGACAATACACTTAAACAGTACCTTCCCAGTATCATTCTTGGAGCCTTTACTCCGCATGTCCTTGGCTCCAGATCCGGATATGAGGTTATTGGTACAGAAGATCTTGCATACTCTTATAGATCGGCACAGTAACTTGGAGCAACTCATAAAGCCAACGTAAGAACTTCTCTCCACTGTCTTACAGTAACATTATTCAATTGCAGAGTCAATTCTGCCGCATTAGCTCTCACTCTTGAAACGTCATCCCGTCCCGATTTAATATTCATTAATAAACACGGTGCCATGATATACGACGCTCTCTACACAAGTTTGCAAATGAATACAAACACTATTGAAAATATTGAAGCGATTTACACTACTCTAGCACTGCTTTGTGTCGAATTAGCTAGTGCGGAGACCATAATTGATCTTTTACAACTAGTATTGGGAATACAAAATTTAGCTTTAACAAGCGCCGACCTTCCAACCCCGCAGAAATTCAATTTACACGCCATTGTCGCCAGCTTGTTCGTCTTAATTTCGACAATTGCAAATATTACACCTCTATCCGAGTATGCTAGTAAAATAGTCAAAGCACGAAAAAAAGAGGCGCCTCACTTACTTCCGGACTTGTTATCTATATATCCGCCGAAGGCCGAACTAGCAAATAAACTACCGCATCTAGTAATCGACCAGGTAAGCTACAAGTTGCATTAGTTGCTAGTTACCATGTTGAATTCCAGATGGCGGTCTGTGAGTACTTAAAGTCGTCAGGTTTCGACTCCACGCGTCTGATGCAAACGTCGCCCTACGGTGCCGGAAGGCTAGGCGTGACGTCAGGTACTCACAGGCACAGTTGGGTGGAGACGGGTGCCCGGGGCAGTATTATCGAAATACCCGCCACACAAGAAGTCGACAGTGCCTCCAGCTCTCCTGGCGTTCAAAAGGTGAGTTAGTTCCAAACCTGCCCAAATCCCAAACTTCCTTTGCAATAGAATGATTCCCTATCACGTCGCCGCAGTGACTGGCACTTGGAAATAAACCGCCACCCAAGCTGGGATAACTTATTTAAATTTCCCGACTCCCAAACTTCAATTTTGTCTCACTACCACCCAAGAAGCGTAATCATTTATCGCGTCTTTGTTTTAATAGTAATATCTTTGCAACAGAAATTGCCCGAGGAAGAGTTAACGTTCGAAAGCATGAAGAGGGTGCTAACCGAACCACCAGAGATACGTAAGGAAGCAGAGGCCGAAAAAAGAGAGCAACTCAGTCACATATTCCACACAGCTACATTTGAGGAGTTAAAGTGTCGAACACAACCGAAGGTAATAATATACTGATTACTGAACCGTTATTATTCCTGTGTTTCAGCATGATTTGCTCCAAAATAAACTTAACGAAATATTTAAATCGTTGTCAACATCCGAAGTGCACCAGAGTCCATTGCAGCTGGATAAAAAGCATTCGGTTCCAGTATATGAACAAAATTTTCCGGAGCTGTTTCTATACTAATTGTTTTATTAAATGACAACAATGTGTACACAGGTTTACGGTGTTACGTTTATCTTATTTTGTTATTAATTCTATTCAAATAATAATATATTTGATGTTACCTTCTGAAATATAAAATTCAATTTGGATTTTTTTATTTAACCTTTTGATGTACACTACTTTTTTGTGAAATGTTTATTAAAAAACGGTATAGAGCTTCAGAGTTGCTTATATTTTTAAGAATTCTGAAATTTCTATGTAGATGTTTTAACCAAATTTTATACTTTATCTCTATAATTAAGAGTTTTATGAGAAAATATCTTGAACTTATCGTGGTATAAATCCCCTACGCTGCACCCTTACCAAAGGGGATGCATAATAATTCAACTTTCAACCCTTGCTAATGGGGATATTTGAATCACTGTGAGATTGTAGGGCTTTCTAATATACGCTTGAAAAAAAAAAATTATCTCACTTCAGTTCAGCTTCATTCTTAAAATCCTTCATCCCCCCTCCCCCGCCCCCCCATCCGCGGTAGGAATAGATATTTAAAGAGGAATAGAACACATATGTAATAAGCATAATTGTATTCTCTGACTAACTTCACAAGAGCGTTTAAATATCTATTTCTACCGCGCGCGGGTGGGGGGGGGGTGAAACTGAACTGAAGTGAAACAATTTTTTAATTTCAAAAGTATATTAGAAAGCGCTACAATCTCACAGTGATTCAAACATCCCCACCAGCAAGGGTTGAAAGTTGAATTATTATGCATCCCCTTTGGTAAGGGTGCAGGGTAGGGGGGTTTATACCACGATAAGTTGAACTCTTAATTATAGAGATAAGGTATGAAATTTGGTTAAAACGTCTACATAGAAATTTCAGAATTCTTCAAAATATAACCAACTCTCAAGCTCTATATCTTTTTTAATAAAGATTTCACAAAAAAGTAGTGTATATCAAACTTCTGTAGAATTTTATGGTCTACAATTTCTGATAACAATATTTTTTTCTAAAGTGAACCATTAAAAAGACATGATTGAAAAACTAAGAAACTAACCAAGTTTCAGGGGTTTTGGGGGTGGTACGGGGGAAGCACAAGGGGTGGGAGGTCGAAAACTTAGATTCTTAACCACCAGATGACTGTCTATGACATGCAAAAGAAATTGGAACTACTTCTCATTTTGCAAGTTAAAACCCTCCATTCCCTGGACTACATCAGTTTTTGGTGCGCTTGTAATGAGTTTAACGGAAAGACCCCTACAAAAAATTAATTGTTTAATATTAATTCTACATTACATAAAAAATGTTATAAAAATAGTTCAATCGCGTAAAATTTTAAAAATGTACTCCAATTCCAATTGGGTATCTTCTGGCAGGTCAGTGCAGTGGACGGCATTTTTATACTTACTTACGCCGAACATCCCCCGTAGAGTATTCGGTCTAATTTGGCGGGCGATATCGGAGTCTGAAGGGCCGGCGAACTTCCTGAACTCCTCGTGAGTGTTTATACCTTCAATCTTTGCCGAAATTTCCAAAGCGACCAGAGGTCCGTCCAGGTAACTCAACATGAACGCGTGAAAGTCGCTCACGACGCCCTTGTAGACTTCCAAAAATTCGTCGGCGTTTGGTGTGCTGATGTAGATCATCTGCATGGCGGTTATCCGAAATTTGGGGTTGTTAGTGATGGCGGTTAGAATCGGGCCGAGTTTCTTCTCCTTGATTGCGTGCGGTTTTATTATGCATAATGTACTGTCGGTTATTTGTGCCGTTGTTGCTGGTGGTTTCGCGTCGATGCCCTTCGGGAAGAAGACGCACGCACTTCGTACGGCCTTTTCGTGATCGTCAGCTCCGTGAAATCCATTCGAGGCCAGTTCACTGCCGTATAACGCCCTTAGGCTTTCAGGGGCGCTCGTTCTGGCTGCTGCGGGATCTCGTGGGCCTATTTCTTTACGCCAACGCTCCACGCAGTCGATTCCCACCAGCTCTAAGGCAACAACAGGTCCAGATACGATGTGCTCCAACATGAACGGAAGAAACGTATCCCCTTTCCGGAATTCGTAAAAATCAAGCGCGTCCTTTCTGGTTAAGTTACACATGAGCATGTGGCAAATTTGAAATTGCCTGTCTTCTATTTGGGTAATAATTTCACCCAGTCTATCAATCACCCCCGGTTTAATTAAGGCAAACGTGTGTTCCTTTACTTTCCCGATTCGGTTGCGCGTTTTGCAGTCCGCGTAGTCCGTTAGATCTATTTGCCGGCCGTAGATGCGTATCTTGTTGCCGACAAACATGTCATTTAGCTGCACCCCTTCGCAGGCGGCCCTTCGAAGATATATTCTGTTCATATCTCTGTCGAAGATTTCGACCGTGTTGTCGCAGGGATAAAAATTTATCAAAAAGTTCTTGTGTAAAGCTGCCTCGTAGTCGAAATAATCGCCCAAGAATGAGAGGCGTTCGTTGTAGTCGTAGTCATCGTCTCCTTTTAAAGCCATTTTTCTGGAAAAAATAAAAATTACAGTTACGCGGTGTTCCTGAAGTCTAATTAAATCTGACAGCTGAGTTAACAACAGTCAAAACAGTTTATGCTGTCACGAATACTAGTTACGCGTAAAAACGTAACTAGCATGAGTGGAACAGCACCTCAAAAATAATTGAGAAATATTTAGACTACCTATTTAGGGGTGTACGTTCTGCTAAACGCTACCGGGTTTTAGATATAAGATATTCCCCGACCGAATGTTATCTTGTGTACGAATTTACAACCTTAACGCTACATTTGGTTCTTCGAGCCTGATAAACGACTGGTGCAGATCAGTGTACCGGTCCAAATGAAGGCTACATTTGTCCCTTCGGCCTTTTAACGAATGGGTGCCGCGTTACCACAAGTGTTCCGGTCCCAGTGAAGGCTACATATTTGGTCCTTCGAGCCTTTAAACGAACTGATGCCGCGTTACCAGAAGTGTTATTGTGAAGTGAAATATGGTGGTGAAAAAGCTGACCATCAAGTGGCGGTTCGAGCTTGCAACATTCAGACAATGTCACTTACACTTAGCAGTTCCGAACGAGGCAGCATCTCAAATGGAGGAAAGCCAAGGGAGCAACGGTTTTAATGTCCAATGGGACAGCGAGGGCAACAAATCCACACCCAATTCCCACGATACCTGGAGAACGAGGTTTCCAAATACTTTTCCTGCCAGTCTGGGTCACACGCACCCACAACTATACTGTAAACCCCTATTATTTGGCACACTCCGCTTTGAATAACTTTCTGTGACCGACTCGCCGTGCTATCAGTGTAATTACGTGCTAAAATTAATATCCACATTCAAGGATGTTACGTGCAATGTGTGCGATTAGGTATGCCGCAAATAGTAAGAAAAATTTAAATCGTCATTTATTAAACCACGACACTTCGAAAAATACTTATCTATTGTTTATTTTGCGATTACTGTTTACCCCACAAATAGTAGGTAAGGCTGTTTTAAATCATAATCGACGTAAGGGAGTTTGGTGTACAGTTGCACGTGTGCACTGGAAAATAAATGATAAGTTGTGATCTTTATTTGTAATTAGAATATTAAGTTAATTACGAGTTTAAGCTAATTTAAGAGAGCCTCGAATTCTGAAGAAAAATTAGACTTTCAGGTAGGATAGGATTAAGGGCGGGTTATATTTTCAAGTCTCAAAAACGGCAGGGTAGTTCAAGTTCGTGCCTCACCATTGAAATCTCCGTAACGGTGAGCCATACCGTGTAGATTAAATGGGGCCAATGCTGCCCCCGAGGGTGCTCCTTTTTGTGACTATAAAAACGCACTTGAAATTTTCGCCAAATTTTTGAAAAACCAAAAAATTTCACTTTGAAAACGAAATTTGATATTTTGAATTTTTTGATCATATCTCAGTAATTTTCAAAAAATAATTTTTCCCCAGAATTGCCAACCATAAATGTAATTCTAAGACCTCACAGTTTCATGCTCTAACTTTGGTTCGGATATGTGATATTAATTTCCGGATGATCTCCGTTCCGTACATGAACACCCCCCTCACCATTGCATCGGATAGACACTGTCTTGTTCTATTGTCATTATTCAACCCCCTTACTTCAAATCCACACCCCTGTCTCACCACCATCCCATTTTCCTAAATTCTGTTATCTGCGCGTTTGCTCCATTGTTTCTTTGCATTTGGCACCCTAAATATTTATATTATTTCCTCCCTCCATTTCCATTCTATTTGCTTGTCCTTCTATACCCCTTCCCAAATCTCATCATTTTCGACTTTTCTACATTTAGATCCATTCCTTTCCTTTCCCAATACTTTTCCTCATCTCCTTCATCTGTTATACCTTTGTTGCCATGATCACTGGGTCATTCGCTTATGCCAGGGACCATATCTTTCTTCTTCCCACTACTATCCCTCCACCATGGCCCTGTCTTAATACTTTTCCAGATCTCTTCACTAACGATCAAATAAAGTTGGGCTAAATGGGCATTCCTGTCTTAGTCCTTTACTCTTCTATTCTTACCCTCAACCTTGACTCTCCATATAGTTCCTTTAACTGCTTGTTAATTATCTTCCATCATTCCTTACCTTTTGCCTTTCTACTCTGTCAAACGCTGCCATTAAGTCCATTAAAAACGCTTTCCGCCCTATTTTTCCAATTCCTTTTCAACCAATTCACATATGCAATGCAGATGATCATTCCACTCCTTTTTCTGAAGCCCGTTCGTGTTTCCGTCAATTTCTCTTTTTAGTCTTTCGTTCAGTATCATTGCACACCCAATATTTTCTCGTTCTTTTGCAGATCGGCACAACTACCCATTCCTTCCATTCTTCGGGTAAACCCCCTCCTTTCCATACTTTTTGTTTATTAGATTCCTCATCCTTTCCTTGATCTTATCTGTGGCGAAAATCCAAGCATCTTTTTTAATTGGTACTCGATCTCCTCTCTTGTTATCTCATCTCCTTCAACCTCCTCTCTTCCTACCTCTTCCATAGTCTCCCCCTTTCCTTATTTAAAATGCCTCTGGCATAAATAAATGATTATTATTATTAGTAACTTAATAAAATGTTGTTTCCATTCCTCTAATTGTATTTCTCTACCACTTGTTCTATTTTCTAGTTTTCTTCTGTTTAAGAATCCTTTTCTGCTTTTATTTTCCTGATTTGCTCTTCGTAATTTTTCTGTTTCTGCATCTTTTTTTCTTTAGATTTTCTTTTGTAATTTTTTCTGCGCTTTCCTCTCATTCTCCCCTGTTTCCTTCTTCTTTCTTTCTTCATCATTTCTCTATATCTATTTCTGTTATTTTTACACTCGTTGTTCTACCACTCCTTTATTTTTTTCTCCCCTCCCTCCTTCAGTTAACGCTCGCAAATTAATGTTTTTTTTCTTTCTCTCCTTGACATTATTCCACTATATCTACCTTTGTCTTTGGGTTTTTTCATTTCTTCCCTTTTAGACTAAATTTAATCGGTTGGAGCTCCGATTCTACACTTGTTTCCATTTTAAATTCATCTATTTCTTCCAATATTTGTTCATTTAATATTGTGTAATAAATTACCGACCACCCTCTTCCTCTCACGTATGTGAATTTCCCTCCATATTTTCGTTTAAAATTCTCTAACATTTCTTTTCTCATAATCCCTTCATTCTTCTCCTGTATCACTCTTACTTTCTTTCCCTCTACTTCCAGTCGTCTTGCCTGTATCCTCTCGTCCTCTTTTGTTTCATCCCCCCTTTCCCTTATCCCCTTTTTTACCCCTGTTAATATACCTCCTTGTACTCGTCCCTTTATATTTTCTTCCTATTTGGTTCTTCCATATATATTCTATTCGTTTATCCATAATTCTACCATTTCCACGACATTATATCCTATTATAAACTCCCAGAATTGAGCGTCTTTAGCAGCTCCCCCGCTACATTGCAGAATATCATTTTCATGTTACCCTTCCCCATTTTTATTGCGTTTTTCTCTTTTCATTTGTTGGATGTCTGTACTCCCCCCCTTCTCTATCTTCTCTTTTGCTGTTAATTTCTCCCTCTAAATCCCACCCTTTCTTCTCCCGTTCTTTTCCTCTCTGTTCAACCAATCGTTTGTGTTTGGTACTCCAGCTGATTTATTCTTCATCATCTACCATTAGTTTCCTATATCACCAACTTAGTTTCTTGCCTTTTCCTCTTTCCCTTTCCGCATCCTCTCTTTGGACCCTTCCTTCTTCGTATGTGAACTCGTCATCTATAAATATCCCTTTCACCTCATAACCTCCCTCTTCTTTTTCCATGCTAGTTCCGCAATTATTACCTTATTTCTCCTTACTTCTACGTGCCTCTTTTACATTTGCCTCTACTTGTAAGTTTTCTTTTATCCATTCTTCTGTCTCTCTCTTCGCCCTTTACTATTCCGCTCGCAGTCTGTCTTCTTTCTCCCTACTTCCACTTTCCTTTGCCCCGATGATCTTATATAACTTTCTTGCTCCGTCTAAACACTTCGAACCACTCTTCCTCTTTCTACTCCCTAGACTCATCCCTGGCCGCGTTAGGGACTTGTATATTGACCTACGCACCCAGGCGTGAGTAATGTGTGTTGTTTATACGCATCACGCGTCGATATTGTCGAATAAATACCGATATCCGTTGTTTACTTGAGCACTGTAAATATTGCCTACGAAAATATGCTCTAATCTCTTTTGACTTCTAATCTAAGGTTTAATATTGTAGAACCAATTCAAGTTGAACCCGTCTTATTAGCGTTTCAAATTAAACTGACCAGACAATGAAGATCGTCGTCATTCTTTGTGCACTTTTTCCGTTGGGACTTAGCTTTGTAAGTATACCATTCCTTGTATTTGTAGTTCTAGAACTCAGTTTTAGAAATTTAACATCCCAACGGAAACGCTGCTTAAATATGAAGATCTTATTCAACCGTATAAGGCGAAATGCATTCTCGAAAGTCAAATCGTCTACGATGTGGGAAGCAACGCTTTATTAAACAAGGAGTTTCCAGAGGACGATAACTTTAAATGCTTCTTGAAATGTATGGGAATCTCTATGGGATTTTTCAACGAAAAAGAAAACAAGTTTGTAAAGCAAACGACCATGGAAAGCCTTGGAATACCAAGTACCCTGTATGATCAATGCTTTGGAGAGGTTTTGGATCAAAACTTGTGTGACGTCGCATTCAATACAGCGAAATGTGTTCTTCTCAGCATTGAATCAAATAGTGGGCTAGCCTAGCCCATTAAAATCTGTGTGTGAATACGTACTTGTACACGTAACATTGGCATTACAGCGTTACATACAAAATTATACTTTTTTCTTCAAACGTCATATAATATTGACATTACGTAGCCCAGCACTCTGAGTTAAAGTTTGACTTTTTAGAACAATCGAACAAGCGGCAGTGAAGTATTTTAGTGCCTAGGCAATAAAACGCTTCAGTGCCAGTGTCACATTGTTTTGCTTTGACAAGTTGATGTTATTTACATTAGGTTCTTGGTTCACCTAGCAAGTGCGTTGATCTTTCCTTCTGATTTTAACAGAAATAAAAATATAGTCGATCAAAGAAGCTATTTATTTATTTAAATAATAGTTAATGTTGAAAGTACCATTATTGAAATTAAACCTTCGTTCCTGCAGCATCCAAGTTTTGAAGAGTCAAGTTTTGTTTGGCTCGTCTTATTTCTAATGAATGAATGAAGTATTTTCAAAAACTGGATTGGTTTCTGCTTCAAATGAAGGAGTAGTTGAAGTCATTCCATCTGATAAACCTGGATTTTCTAAAGTTGTCGAAAGTATTTTTTGTGCAATTTCATTTTTATTTGAAATCGAAAAACTCATCCACAATTAAAACGTCAAAACTAATAATGGCCAACTATAGCAATTGTTATAGTCACCACGGCCGACGCGCTCACGGCTACCCATAACGATCGGGTTAATATTTCTTCATTTGAAAACCATTATTTGGGCGTTATTCTCACGTTTGAAGAAAAAATAGCATATATTATGCGGAGCTAAAGTAACTTCTTATGGCTCGTCAGTATTTTGCTGGCCTCGCGAAGCCATCAAACACTGACTCGCCATAAAAAGTATCACTTTAGCTCCTCATAATATAATATACTATTTAGACACCCCACATCACAGGTGTTAAGCACTTGGGTAAAGAAAAGCAAGGGTTTGATTTGACCACAGACGCAATTTTCGTCATGTTTTTTTTAACTTGTTTCATTCTCATGTAAAGAATAACTGCAAAAATGAAAATGCGGCAAAACACGTATATCGGTACTCGACATTTATTATGCAACATCAGCATATCGAAGTTCTACACCTCGCTATTCGATATTTCGATGTCGATATTGACGAACGATATTCCATACCTATATCGATATTCGATATTATATCGATATTCGATATATCGATCGTCGATGTTTTGCCATATCGTCATATCGATATTAGGAAAGTATGGATACATATTGATATATCGCCCACCCCTAATGTAGATGCAAACTAAACTTCTTTGAAAACGAAGTACCTACCTATAAGCACTTAAAAACGCATGTGCAGCAATTTACATTCCTAAACGTTACCACTATTTCGGCCCCCGTAATGGCGGAATCTCCAATGTAAAATTCGTAATTCGAAAGAATGTAAGTATATTTTTAGCAAATGCAGTAACTATAAAACCGGCGCAAACATCGGCAAATTCCTCTGGTGTTAGGTTTATATCGCGTATCTTTATGAATGGAGTAGGAGTAGGCAATGCAATTACGCGGGAGAGGTGATAATCTTCAAACGGTTGTCGTTTCCAAACGGAACTTCGCGTCGTCGGCATAAGCTGCCGCGGACTTTTTTGTAGAAAATTTAATTAATGCCCTTTAAAAAAGTCCGCATATATTTTCGTCAATCTCCTTTCGGTTTCTGAGCGTTTGCAAGAATTGGTCAGAGAACACAATTTTTACAACTCTAATTATTAATAATTCAAAAATCGGACGATATTACACAGCATACAAACCAAAATAATCATATTTACCAATCAAAATAATAATATTGATCACGCAATCTGTCAAATGACGGGTTTTCAGTATTATAAAATTATTCAGTTTTAACATTTCTGACGTTAATTCAGTGCGCCACTGGTTGCTGGTAAGCGACTTCTGTTGGTCCAACTCCATCTATACGTATTGGTCCACATTAAAACCGGTGCTCAGTCTATTGTATTTGGTCTATGCTTCTATATTACAATTTCTGTTTAAACAACAGTTTCTGAGCATGAACGATACAAAGTGCCCGTTCTTAATGCACTACACAGAACTAAATTTAGAAGCCGATAAAAAGAAAAACCACTCCATCATATAATATTAAATTTTAGCGATCTCTTTGTCTTTCTCAATATACATTCACTGTTTTGTAAATTTCATTTTTGTTGCTGCGAGAATCGATTCTGTAATAGTTCGTGATTTCCAAAATGGGAAGCCACAATAATATACACGGCGATTCCGTGTGGAATGTTTCCTGACTGCAGTAATTATGCTTGCTTTGCGCGTTCAATGTTATTATTTGTTGATTCTGCACATTCTTTTATTATTATTAGATGATTGCTTTTCCTGGATTGATTTTTCTGGATGCAACAGATTTGGATATCGGGAAACTGTTGAGCAATATGATTGCAACTAATGACGACAGGCATGGTAGAAGAAAAGTGAGAAGGCAAGAAAAAGACTGAGCATTGCGATATAGGTACCAGAAAGATACTTCATCAAATTAAAACATTATGGTATATCTTAAAAAGAAACGTGTTAACCAAATAAGGAATCATATGAAAATAACTTCACCTAGAAAAAATAGAACAATCCTCATTCACGTAAATACGTTTATATAAATTTTTAGACAAGATACGCACTAGGAGTCAGACTGCAACAACCAATCGCACATACGATTACCAGCGCTTTAGGGGGTGTCGAATAAGCAATCTTGCTTGGGGTTGGCTGCCTAGTACGTTACCGGCGTAAGAGTACCTAAGAGTGTGGTGTAATATTGTTACAGCGGAAACGTTAAACTATAAAGTAGAAACTGTAAATTGAAAGCAATCGGCCTTGGTTTGCTTCATAGAGCCAAACCATGTGCGTAATGCATTATTCTATCTCCTTGGGCTCACAGAACTGGTGGTTTTATTTAATTCCCTTTCCAGTAGTGTCCCCCGTCCCAACACATAAAAGAACCGACCATACGATAAAACAACGCATAGTTACTATCCGTGACACTAAGTTCAAGCTAGACGTGACCGAGATTTGAAAATAGCGCGCAAGGTTTTTCCAAAGAGTTGCTAACTGGAAGTACAGGGTAAGTCAATATTGTATTGCCAGATCTGAGAACCGTAAGATCATTGCAAGCATTCAAAAATTTGTATTTAAAAAGCATAGTTTTTACAGACAGTTACATTGTTAGATAACATAAACATGTTTGACATGAAAATAAAGTATGCAATCTGTTTTAAACATAATATAGCAAACGTTTACTATTATTGTCCGTTTATTAATATAAAAAATACACGAATATACTGAATGTATGTAATAAGACAAAGCGTCTCGCAAATGTAAAATATCGCAGTTGTTATTGCTGCTGTACGTTGATGTCAGCTTAATAAGCTTCCCCAAAAATCTGAAAATAAAATCTTGAAATACGCTGGTGGATCAATGAAACCCATTCAAAATTCACGTGTCAAGTTTTAGTTTAAAATATAACGTATGAAACCGATATAGATGTATGGCAATTTAAAAATAATTTTTTTAAGTATCCCAGTGTTGCGCTACGTCACTCTGACACTATTCCAAGAATTGACAGTGCCAAATGATCGCGCAGACGCCAGATTTTGGCTATAAATTCCAATTAAAATTAAGGTAATTTATCAAAACAGATTTAGTCGTTATTGCAGTTGCTATCCTGCATTTTGCAATCAAAATACACAAGTCCCCAGTAGATTCTAGACGATCACCGCTTTCCAGCACTTGCCTTAAACAGCACTATTTGTCCATAAGACAAATTCCTACTATAAAAGAAATCATACTTCGCCGCTACGTACTGGTTTAACGGTTTCATTTTAATGAAAGGATAATTTAAGGAACAGGTGTATAAGCAAGTCATTAAAGCACGCCCAACGAGCTAAAAGGCACGATAAGTTGCAAGTGTCTTAAATACCAATCATACACGTGTTTCTTATAGCATTTTTTTAAATTATACCTACAATATAATTTAAAAATAAGGAAAACAAAATAAAATCATATTGGCCTTATACTCGAATACATGTCTAATGAAGCTTGCGATTTATTTTCATCCGTCAACGCAGTTTCTTTAAACAGTATGCGCTTATATTAACCAGCCTGCGTTTAATTTGAACCGGTCAGCGTGAAAGGAGTAAAAGGAGACAGTCAAAGAGAGGCCTATATGAAAAATTAGATAGGCTCTCCAAAATATATTGGAGTATAACTTTCGAAATACGTATTTTTCCAAATTTGTATTTGATTTTGATGACAATTGCTGAGATACCGGTGAAAGACGAATGAACTGAATTCTTACCTTAATTTTTATCATTTTTTACCGAGCGAACTAGAAGCGAACGTACCAAAAATGTAAGTTACAAGGGTAGTGCAACATAACCAGACGAAGAGATCGCCAGAAGAATTTACACCACGATCCGGAGAAAGAAATTAACCCGTTACAAGGTACCAATAAGCATTAGCAACTCTTCTGCGAGGAAGAATTACCGAACCACCCTTTCTATTTGTAATCATCTGCATCAGTTAAAAGGATAATACACCGTCCACTCAATGACTTATTGCAAAAGCAGAATAAAAGTTGGTAGACGCAAAATCCAAATCCAGTTAAGCTTATTATAAAGAATATGAAAAGTTATTGTCATGGATGAATTAGAAGCATCTTATGAACAAAGTTCTTTGGTGCATTCATTCAAAACTTCAAACAATGCTGCGATTAAAAAATGGAACAGGATGCCCTAAATTGCCTAGTTAGATAAGCTGCTTTTGCAAGGAAGCACCTATCGTGTGTCATTTGTTTTTCTTCTTCTAAAATCTAGAAGCGCCAACGTTCTTTAAATTTTCTGTACCTAATCCTTGAAGTGCTCTAATTGGTGTAATATCAACAGCACTTGCTGCTGACATTTTACACTGATGGTATTATAATTCATAGAAAACGTAATAAATGAGCTCATAGCTACAAGATATTAATG